AGCTGTCACAGTCTGAAGATTCAGTAGTGAAGAAAGCAGAACCTTAACAACTTTGGGCGACATCTTTTGGTGCTTGAGTGACAAAATGTTTGGCTTGGAATTCTTCCACTTCAGTGTGACAGAAGAACAGAAGAAGATGAAGGTTCACGATATAATGGAAAAAGAAGGTTCAGAGGTTCCACCAAAGCCACGTGATGCTCTTAATCCAACAGATTAAGAAGAGAAGCAGATCAGGGATTTTAATGTGTTTCTTCTTCTTCTCTTGATCTGCCAAAAACATTTAGAACAGTTCCCTGCAGCAGACTGGACTGATGATGAGACTTTCAGAAGCTGATAAAACTGTTCATTTCAGGAAAGTGTCAATGATGTTGCTGAAAGAGGGTGAAGTATTTAGTATTTTAACTGTAGCTGAACAAAGAATGAAGATCAGAAACAGGATCTACTACAAGAATCACAGACACATCTTTAGTGACGCCAACAAACACACAGTGGAGCTGCCCTTTTTATGGACTTCATGGACTTAAGTATTTTTATGCAAGTTCCAGTTTGTGTTTGCAGAATAAAATGACAAATTATTCAAATACAGATTATTTATTTGGTGCTGTTATAGTTTAGGCTATTGGACAATTTTCAAGTGTCTTGATCAACCTCTAAATATGAATTAATTTGCATAAAATTTGGACCCAAATATTTTGGCTAGATATGAAACCAAATGCAGGGTTCTAATCTAGAGAATCTAAAATCACCCTAGTGTGTAATATTTCTGGTGCAGGGTCCACTATCTCTTTGTCTCTTTGTCATGCTGATGTTTATTGTGGCGTATGTGACCCACAGATTATCCCACACACTGCAACAGACTAAGACACAGGCTAAAACACTCTGGACGCGTAACTCAGAACAAATGCACATGTATGCGGTAACTGCTGAAGATGGAGGTGTACGTGCACGAGCATGCACTTTAAACCTGCTTGCTCCACGTGCTCCCCCACTGCCATGATCCAAGGCCACACACTCAGCAGGTGAGTGCACGTACAGGCCACACCACCCCCACCGAGTCCCCCCGACACCGCACTGTAATATACTGAACTAAAGCACGTGCACATTAGTCACACAAGAGAAACTATAGAAAACCCATATACGGCTCCTACACAATGCACACGTCAGGAAACATTGCCAAAAAGTTTGATTTAATTATCTGAAAACTCAAGAGAAAATACATCATGGATTGAAAACATACATTTTCAGGAGCCTGTAGTGTGAACGTGTGAGTGATAATAACAATAAAACAGCATTAGTTTTATATAAAAGCCTTTTTAGACACTCAAAGTCACTTTACAGTTTGGTGCATTATTCATGCACTCCAAACACAGTGGTGATAAGATACTACTGTAGCCACAGCTGCCCTGGGGCAAACTGACGGAAGTGAAGCTGCTAATCTGAGTCATCAGCCCCTTGAACACACCACACACCACCACTGGTGCCCCACTGTGGCTCCTGGGATTCTCGGTGTCTCCCTTGAAAGTACTGCCCAGGCCAGGCCCTGCTGAGCTCCTGAGATCTGACGGAATCAGACTTTGAGAAGGAGGTTTGGCCTCAGGTTTGGTTTGGTGACTGTGAGTGAAAAACTGTTGGCTACTGCTGGCGAGCTTGTGATTGTAATTTTATGTGTGACAGACTTGTTTAAGAGCATAAATCAGTTCACTTGCTGTAGTTCCAGTTAAATCAGTTCAGATGAAAATGAAATAAATCCTCAGACAGAGCAGAGCCTACAGTTAGCATCACACCCACAGGAAATGTTGATGATTTCAGCTGTAAAGTTTCAACATTTGTACAATTTGCAACAACTACAAAAATGGGATCAAACACTTGAAGCTGTTATCAGTAAGAGCTCGGTTTGATTTGATTTGCCTCAGAAGCAAATGGGGTTAGACCCTTTTGAAGAGAACACTCTTTAAGAATTTAAGAATGTACACAGAAAATCTTCAGCAACAAGAACACTGGATATGAGTGTGAGTGAAGTTTTTCACAGGTAGATATTATTACACATACACATAAAGCTCAAGTGTCCATTAACCCACATGTAAGTGTGTATGATTCTCTCATTCTGACTTCACTTGGTGGGATAACAACTATTGTTTACATTATAGTTTTACACCAAAAGAGAAAATGTTGAAAATATGAGTTTCATATCGATCACACTTAGGGAGAATTTTATTAATTTTAAAAGTTAAAAGTTTGACTCAATTTTGAAACACATTTTTCTCAACAAAATAAAGGTGTTTTCTTTCTCACAGTTTTATTTTGAAATAGGTCTGAGACATTTCTGTCTGTGTATTTTAAGATTGAGTTCTCACTAATAGTCAGTGATCAGCTTGTGTGTTTTTAAAGAAGAGCTCTAAATCCAGTCCTCCGTACCAGACTGTGGTTTGGAAGAGCCAGGACACTGGAGGAACAACTTTGTGTGTTCAATGGAGATAGATGAAAGTCAGTGCTCAAGGGAATTCATATTGACAGACATTTTAAAATGACTTTAGTAAGACACTCAAAATGATTGATTTTCTGAACAGTGATCTGATTTGGACATCAGCAGACTGCAGACACTTGTCATACTGTGCCTTTACAATTTCAAGTACTACTTCCCAAATTGTAGTACTAAAAGTAAAACGTACACATGAAAAATACTACTCAGAGTACTTTACAAGTTCACTTCACTTTTGAACAGGTTTTAGCAGCATTTTAGATCAGTATTTTATATAAACTGAACAGTCTGAAGCTGAACTGAGCCGTTTGAAACCACAATCCTCATGTTCATGTGATCAATGGTATGTAATACTCCCTACAACTGTACAACAACTCACCACTGCACCAGACTATAGAGGGACAGATAATACTCCCTACAACTGTACAACAACTCACCCTTATGAAACAGATAACCCTATGTTGGAAATTAGCCATGTTGGCTATAATCTTTACATATTTACATTTTTAATGTTCATTAATATGTGCTGTCCCTTTACAAATAAATAAATAATAATAATAAAAAAGTCCTGTCAATCATCATATTGGTTGCACTGTCTTCCTGTGACCTCTTGTATAAAGCTGAGATTTTATATTTTGTTACTTATATTTCTATTTTACTTTGACTTGTACATTTACATTTATATAATTCTTATTTGACTCCTGTCTCTTGTTGTCTTTTTTGCTGCTTATTATCACCATTTATATTATTTCTCTTTGTTATTATAGGATATTGTGATGTGTGAGCACCAAATTCTTTCCTTGTGGATCAATAAAGTTTGTCTAAGTCTAAGTCTAAACTCTGAGCTCGGTCCAATCAGAGCAGGAGATGCAGAGCTGTTATGGGAGTTTGTCAGTTTAAAAAGGTGCACAGACAGACGTGAAACTCCCCAAAAACGATGTCGATGTTCACGTTATCTTTGTGCTCAGTAGTTTCCTGCCCTACAAAGGCAGAACGCCCTGGTCAAAAATAGTTCATGTCACTTTGGGGGTATTTGAGACCTCTTTTATCATTTAAATAAATATGTGAAAAATATTGAGCTCAAAATTGACCTTTGACTCTTATTTGTCAGTTCCTGTTCTCTGCCTTTGTATCATGAGTCAAAAATAAGGAGTTGTGCAAAAGCAAAAGGCAGAAAGTTCATAAATATATTTTATTTTAAATCCAACATCTTGCCTCCTTCTTTTTGTTGCAGCCTTGGCACAGGGTCTGAACACATTCAATAAATAAACCTTTGTATTCACTTATACTTCAGTGATCTTTAATGTGAAAGTATTATGTATATTTATTCATACTGTACACACTATACTGCAAAGTCACTTGTGTCAAACAGTTTGACTGTGTAAGTGTCTCCACACGATCCTGATCAGCACTAAACAGGAAATCCAAAACTGTTCTGTATCATTTCAAACAAATGCCATGATGACTCGATCGTGATCGTTAGTTTCTGCTTAAATAAAATTACACTTGAAACAGAAACAAAGTCCAGAAATAAAGTTTACTGATTCCAATATTAGAAAGTCATTCTTGTACAAGGCGTCTGTGCTGACATTCCCATGCAGAGACTCAATGTTTACGCCTATACAATGATTTTTATAAACAAACTATAGTGGGAGGACAGCCTGGTTTAGATTTAGCCCCTCTTCGTCGGTGCACAGAACAGCCAGGCTTCTTCACACGTTGCACAGTCCAATCAGACTCCATCCGGGTGTTATCTGGCCAACAAGTCGTGACATCATCCCTGTCAGTAGTTCTTGTCCTATTTAGATAGTTTCCTATTAGAAAGACTGGAATATCCTGCATTTGTCTTGACACATCTATGAGTCTCACAGCGGTGATTAAAGCCCTGATCTTCACATGACCTCTGTACAGTGACGTGCATTCAGAAGAGGCAGAGCCTCACCTGTCAATCTTGAAAAGAAAAAGAAAAGTTGATTATAAAATATAATACATTTTAAAATTTGTCACCTGGTATGTATTACAAATCCCTTTTCCGTACAAATCCAGTAATAAAAAATATTTTGAATTAAAAATGTCAAAAGGTCTGCATGTTCCAGTCAAATACAGGAAGGAGGAGACGCGCCGTGAGGCAGCACCTTGCTGCTCTGTGAATAGTTTTATCCCATGGTAATACCTAACAAACAGTATCTGTATGCCATTCAAATAATGTGTCATGACACAAAGGCAGAGAACAGGAACTGACAAATAAGGGTCAAAGGTAAATTCTGAGCTCAATATTTTTCACAAACAAATATTTCCTCATTATAGCAACTAGTTGTCAGATACCGGGAGTCCTATCTATTCTACTTTTGTCTGGACAAAACACAAACTTTGAAGTCATGTTGGTAAGTTTCACACTCTGGAGAGTTAAAGTCTTTTGCCTTTGTAGTGCAGTTTAGTTTCAGATCAAAGTTGGAGCTGGAGTTTGTAGTTCAAATCCAGGTGTGTGGCGCTCTGAAGGCAGCAGTGTGCGTGTGTGTGACGTGAGCGGGGTGGGCCGGGCTTCAGTCCAGGCACCATGGCTTCGGTCGGACCCGAGGTGAGTGTTCCCTGCCTCCGCCGCAGTCTACCGTCTCCTCGCGCTCTTTTCTGCGCCGTTCCCCGCTCCTCTCCGGCCGAGCGGAGCCGCGCCGGGACGCACACGGTACCGCAGCCCGTGTCGCGCTCTCCGTTCGCCGTTAGTCGGTCTAAGCCTGCCCGGAGTGGCTTGCTTTTGTGCTGGACCGGAGTGCAGGAAGATGCTACACCCGGGAACGTGTATGGGCCATGCGCGTCCGCCGTGCGCCGATGCCCGGTCCGGCTCCATTCACCTTCCCGGTTCATAACAGTCGTCCGCTTGTGCCAGGCAGCTTTAGCGCTTCAGAATAAACACTACACTTAATGCCTTTCATTCCCCCCGGCATACCAGCACACTTTAGTTACTCCATTTCACATCTAGCTCGCACGAATAGCGGCGCTGCTTAGCTTTTAATGCTAATGCTAACTCCCTTTCAATTCCTGACACCAAAAGCGCGCACTGCCACATCCACTTTGCCCCGAAAATGCCAGTTTCCCCCCCGGTTTGCAGGTGCCCAAAGTGTCGTTCACTCTTTCCACTCTCGCCTGGTTATCGCGTCGTTCGGAAAGCCCGCTGTCCGCTGTCCCGTTCCCCGAGAATGATGCTTTGACTCCCGCTCGCTCCATGTAAACAGAACGCGCCAGGTTGCACGCACCGGCTTCAGCGCTCCGCATGTGCATTTACTCGATATTGTCCTCCACAACGATTTATTTTTAAGTGCATGGGTTTATTCTGCAAAGCTTCACGTTTACAGGTGAATGCATGCGGGGAACGAGGCAGAGAATGCAAAACAAAGAGGAGGGGAGCGAACCCAGGCGTGCACTGCGGGGATATGGGCACAAGTTACGCGCTAATACCCGAACGTGGTGACATTCCGTCTAATGAAGTGCGCGTATGTGTGAAAAAGTGGTTGTCTTTTGTGTTTTTGCTCGTCTTGTGGAGGGGTTTCGGCTCTGGACGGTGTGGACGACAGGGGGCGGTAGCTGCACGTTGGTTTGAGCGCTTTGAGAAGTGCCATGGAGGTCTGCGCTTTCACTTGTGTGGCTGGCGACTGTGTGGAAAGGCGCAGGGGATTGTGATATGGGACCGAAATGTACAGTTTAAAATCGTGTTAAGTGAAGTCAAACGTCTGTTGATTATTTTTTTGTATTTGTCAATGCTTGGTTTGTTGACTCCAGTGTTTTGTCCCTGTTGAAACATTATGTCCTGAGGTGCTTGAAAGATTGAAAGATTGAATTACAGATGTGCCAGGCCATGTGTGATGTGTGGTGCAGATCTTAAGTGTCCTATATTACACAAAATTGATTCTTGTTAGGTTTAAAACATGTTATAATGTTAACTCATTAAAAACAAAAATGGAGTTGCATTTTATTTCATTCACGCGTGCTGTAGTGACACTTTATTAGGTTTAGGGTTAGAGGATTAAGCAAATTCAAGCTGCTTTTGGCTAAAAATGTGACTTTTGGCTTCTTTATGGGATCCGAATCTTTTGAATCGGTTCATGTCAAAGAGCCGTTCATTTATTTACATGACAGAAGCCAATGTGGGAAATTTTTTTTTACAAACTATTCACAGACAGATTATTATTAGTCTGTCTACTTCTTCAAAGCTCAAAATGTTCTGTCCCACCGTGTGATGTCATGAAGCGGTAGTTTTCAAGTGAACAACTCCTTTAACCTTGCGTTCAGAAGAGATCGGCAATTCCAGGGCTGAAGTTGTCCAAATGATTCTAGTGAAGGTGTATAGAGTTTAAAAACACAAAGGCAGAGTGTTTTCTGTTTGAGAGAAGAACTTGGCTTCAATATGCAGGATATGTTTGTGATGAGGAGACAACATTAAAACACAGATTAGAAAATGCAGTAATGTGGGCGCTTGAATCTAAAGCCGAAGCAGTTTTGAGTTTCCTTGTGAAATGAATCTGTTATTATTACTGATTGTTCTTCTCCTGTAGTATCCTTGGAGAGGCTGTGAGGAGTGTGTCTGTGGTGGTGGAGCCTTTGGTTGGTCACTGTGTGTTGGTGTTGGTGTCTGTGTCCACACCAGTAGCTTCTGTTGAGTTTCAGATAAAATCACCGCATTTCTATTGGCCTACAGTGTAATTGAGACGAGAGGATTAAGCAAGTTCAAGCTGCTTTGGGCTAAAGATGAGACCTTTCGCTTCTTTATGGGATCTGAATCTTTTGAATTTATTCATGTCAAAGAGACATTCATTTATTTACATGACAGAAGCCAATGCGGGAACTAATTTTATTTACAAACTAATCACAGACAGAATGACCAATGCCAAGAACTGATTAAAATGGTTCAAAGTGACAGTGGGGGTGTGTTTACTCTTCAGAATGATGCAGAACCTAAATAAAACATTGCACTATAATAATAATAATTTAAACAATGCGTATTGTGATGCTAAATGTGTTATTTAGTGGAAAAAGCTCTCTCTCTGTCGCGTCGTCTGCTCTGCTTCTGTAGCATTTCCGTTGTTGAGTTAATCAGTGTCATTACAGTGTCATACAGATTAAGAAAAAGATCCGGCTCATTTCAAAAATGATATTCAAATCCAACCGACATCCTTTGATTACATCTTTTTTTTTTTTTTTTACCAGGGCTATAGTAACTTAATTGATTAATTGTTATTCAAAACTAATTGATTATTCAAATAATTGACATCTAATTTAGTAATAGAATCATTGTTTATATAGAAATATGTGCACTGTAAGTCAAGGTTTTATGGCTCCAAAAGCAGTAATAAAAAAAATAAAATGTCATAGAAAATGTGTTGGAAAACCTCATCTGTCTTAAATGGCTTCAAGCAGCACCACCCAGTTTTCATTTGGGTCAAATGAAGTTAAAATATCATGTTCCCAGACTTTTCACAATCCAAACAAATAATAATTGCTTTATTAATGGATTAGCCAAATGATCCTTATGTTGCATCCCTAATGTTTCAGTTGTAGGCCTTGTGTTTTTAGTAAACTGACAGAACCACAGACTGTGCTCCTGCCCGGTCCCAAAGCCTCGCTTGTACCGTCCTCGTGTGTTCCCTACAGAGAGCTTTCCCTCTGGTCCTCAGAATAACAGGCTGCTACGTGCCTGCCTCCATATGAACAACATGAATCCTCTGGCTGCATCTTTGTGCCATTCTGTCCAAATAAAGCCTCAGTAGAACAAAGCAGAGGTTTGGATGAAGGAACAGCTCATGTACAAGCACGCTGCTCACACCGCCGCTGTTTCAGCATAGAGCTTCAGCTTCAGCTAACCACTCTGTAGTCGACTGTAGTCGAGCTTCATTTCCATCATACATTGAGACTTTTAATAAATGTTTAAATACATTATGTTGACTGAGGGCTTTTAAAGAATATTTATGAATAAAATGTATTGACAAAAAGCAGAAATGTTCTTGTTGCCTCTGTTATGGAAGATTTCTGAGTGTGTTATAGTTCAGTGAATAACATCCTTTAGAAATAAAGGAGTAATGACTTGATCAAACACAGACCTGTAGTCTTACTTTTGCACAGCTCGAACTTAAGGAGACCTTTTGCTGTAGTATTGAGGTAACAAGTATATGTGACTATAGGCTTTATTCTGAGCTAAAATGCTCAAATAGCCACTCCTGTCTCCAGGGATTCAGCTGAAGTCTAAATAACAGGGATAGTCCTTGTTCCATAAAAGAATGTCACCCATAGATATGCATTTGAATATATCTGCAAACAGTATTCTGCAGGAGGAGCGCTGCTCAGCACTTGTCTCTGATGTCGTGAGTGCGTGTCTGTCACGTGTGGTCAGACGTGCAAACTCACCTAAAGACGTGTGATTGTGAAACATGTTGCATAAAGATGGTGGTTGGTTAGCACCTCCAAGACAGTGGATTTGCCCTTGAGTCAACAAGTCCTCAATGCATCAACTTTGTCTCCTTAAGCTCTCTAGAGGTTCTTAACCTTTTTTTTTTTTTTTTTTTTTTTATCTCGAGGCCCGACAAAGTCCCCTGGGGCCTGATCTCATATTAAATCTATTAGATTGTTGTAATTTCAGGGTCCTTTGGTGGGTGCTAGCAGCCCTACTTTGGGCCCCGGCCTTATGGTTATGGAATGCTCTAGATTACTCTTTTGTTCTCTTATCGAAACCCTCCGTTACCTACTCCCAGCATTTCCATTGCATTGGCGGAAATTAACTTTCATGATCACATGATTACAGTGCAAGCATTTAAAGAACGTCACTAAAATAAGAAATGCTGAGAATGTTTTAAACAAGATTCTTGAGGCTATTCACTGATATCAGTCATTGCAAAGCATAATTCAGTAGGAATTTAGTTTGGTTTGTAAAAACACTATTGCTCAGCTTTGGTTTGAGAACAGACTGGCAGTGGTGGTCCACCTCTGTGCGCTACACCATCTGAAAACATGTTTCTAACCTGAAGCTCTGCACACATCCAAAGAGTCATTCCTAGTAAGGTGAGAATTACTAGTAAGGAGAGAACTAGGGATTTGAAATGCTTACTTTCTTCTTTCACTGTTCAAAAGTGCTTTTATTTATGTTATATTTATAGCAACATGTCACTGCAGGGTTGTGTTTTTTCACCACTGTTATTCGTGTACAGTCAGATGAGATGCCACATTCCTGTGATAGTACATCTCCATGTGTGTGTTTGGTCAGTGGATGACCAGTCCCATTACACAGCAGCTTTGTCATTTAGGCAGAAGCCAAAGGCGGAGCATCCACATGAACCAAAAACAAACATGCCAACAGGTGCAAAATGACATTTCTTTTTGATGTTGTGGGAAAGATGTTTGCATTTTCCTCTAGTGGATTCAGCAAAAGTTTTCTGCCTGCTCCACTGTTGTGACTCTTCCTCTAATTAACATGAAGCATCTGTCTGAATGTTCCTGCTTTTTCCTTGTTTCTGTCTGCAAGAAAAAGCCCAGAGTGTGATACACATTCTATCTCCAATTATTAGAATATCATGAAAAAGTTTTCATAGATTCATG